GATTTGAAAGACATGGGTTAGGTTCTCATTGCTACCAAACTTGATTGTCCTGTATTTATTATGGCAAAGCTATTAAGGCTATCTGTCACTAATTTTGAACTACTGACTAGAGGGAAAGCAACTTTTTTCCCCAGGGTAAAGTGAAGTCCCTATAGTTGGGGTAGTGCCACTTTTGTTAAGTGGGCGTTTCGGGTGTGTGAACAAAGGTCCGAACACGTTGTGTTTCTCCTTTTGTTTTATTTACATAATACATTCAAATATTTGTAAATCACATCTACCACATATACAGACTTTATAACATTTTAACCAAAGCAAACCCTAACAGAAGACATCATCATATACGTACTTGATAAATCATAATATGTAGCTATTTAACATGTATTTAACGTGTTCAATAGCTTAGTGTGATATGGCAATACACCTTAGTCTTAAACCAGCCCACATCGTAGCTAGTTGGTCTAAAGGTATATCATCTGCGACGTCTTTTTCACAAGCCATCAATAGAAGTTCCTCTAATCTTTATTCATTAATCCTTGATCTGTAAAAAGTCTTTCACAAGCTTCAGTTTACTAAATGTTCTTTTGTCTTTGACCACGATTACTGAGCTAAAAGCTTGTTGATGAAAAGAAATACCGATTTTTGTTCGTCAGCTATTTTAGCGGCACTTGGGATATCTTTAACATCTTTGTTGGTTACTGTCAAGTGCAATTTGAAGGTCTCTAGTTCTGACATGGGAGCATTGGGATCCGGTCTTTATCCTCAGGATAAAATTCTGTGATAGCTTTTAATGTTTGAAGTAAGGTGCATTTTTGTTGTAGTGCAGAGCTTCCATTAAAGGCTTGACGGTTGTTCTCGTGGACATCTGCAAACGGTTTGTAATCATAAGGCAGAGCTACAGAAGTCTACATCTGGCTCTAATACTTCAGCCCAGGTACAGCAATCTACTGTACAGAACCAACTAAATACTAGTCTACACGCCCTTGTTAGAAACACATCACTAAGAAATTCGTCAATTTTATTACCGGTACAGCCATGGATTCTCGGTATATTCTTTCCAGTCACAAGCATCTGTCCACAATGTTGATCAAAATCAGGTTTAATGAAGTTCAACAAAAAAAAAAGACATCTCTCTACTACAACTTGTACCCAACATCAATGTCACTGTGGATATTTGGAGTAGCAGACAAATGTTCAGCTTGCTTGGAGTCATTGGTAATTTTATACTGAACTGGAAAATGCAAACAGTTATGCTGGATGTCGGCGTTTCAATGCATCCAACATGATCAAGGCCATCTGCTTGAACCGCGAACAGTAGCTAGTGTGAGATACGGTGATAACACACTTACAGATAGTGTTTGTTTGTTTTTTGAATTTCGCGCAAAGCTACACGAGGGCTATCTGCGCTAGCCTTCCTTAATTTAGCAGTGTAAGACTATAGGGAAGGCAGCTAGTCATCACCACCCACCGCCAACTCTTGGGCTACTCTTTTTACCAACGAATAGTGGGATTGACCGTCACATTATAACGCCCCCACGGCTGAAAGGGCGAGCATGTTTGGTGGGACGGAGATTCGAACCCGCGACCCTCAGATTGCGAGTCAAGTGCCCTAACCACCTGGCCTTACAGATAGTGATTCAGCAGATGAACTTCTGGACGAATCTAAATCAGCAGACATTTTATTCGAATTTCTTCCTGAACATGACCCATGCTCTTCCCACCCGCTATAGATCGTGGTCATAGATGGCATAAAAAAACTGAACCACTGTTGAAAGTAATTTCCAAAACATCAGCCATCGTGTCCTACATTCGAAAATCAACGCAAGCAAATATAATTTAAAGATTTTGGTTTAGAACACCATCCAATGATGTTTGTCAATCAACTTACAAATAAGAATAACGGTTTTCAGCAAATTGTGATAAATCAACAAGATTTCAAAAGATGTTGACTTATGAAGAAAAAAAAAATGCAAAATGTCACAGTTTTGAGTACTATAGTATTTTTTAACTTTCAAACTTAAGAGAGGAAAAATTAGGATCATTTCTCACAAAAACAAACCTTTAAGTGCTATCAAGTTTGAAATTTTTTCTGACGTCAAGATTAATAGTTTGTTTGTAGTTAAGCACAAAGCTACACAATGGGCTAACTGTGCTCTGCCCACCATGGGTATCGAAACCTGGTTTTCAGCTTTGTAAGTCTCCAGACATACCGCTGTGCCACTGGGGGAAATAAAGAGAGAAGCTAATTTTTATGGATAAGAAGGAACATGTGAGGTACTTTACCCTTTGTCTAAGCAAGCCAACATTTGAAGGTTGCACAATTTCCTTAAATTCATGAAGAGAACTATTAATGAAAACATTGTAGACACATACTCTCTTCCTAGTATATCCCCGATTTCAAGTTATGTATGAAATACTTTTAGTAAAATAGTATGTTTTTTCTGTGAAGTTTATTTTCCGTGCGGCTTTTAGAATAATGGTTTTGTTTTATACGTAAAATACCGAGACCTTAATTGCTTATAAGTGACTGGTATATTTATATACTTGAAATATATAATGTATGCTGAAGTAAGGAGAGTTCAAGTGGGTACGTATAACAATTGAAATAATTGGTAATTAGAAGTTAGGCCAAACTTCCCGTTATCTAACATGTCATTCTAGGACTAACAGCAAGCTGCACGTTATCTAACACGTCATTCTAGGACTAACAGCAAGCTGCCCGTTATCTAACGTCATCCTAGGACTAATTGCTTAGAACCAAAACTTACAACAGTTAATAAAATTTCAGCATCAGAGAATGTCAATAAAGTTTGGAGATGGCTTGAGAAGATAATGAAAGAAACTTTATTACAGATGTACAATGTTTTGAGAAACTTGTATCATCATCATGTACCTGAAGGCATTTTGTTTGTAGTCTGTGTGAGAAGTTGGCCAACCAAATAACAGAAACAAAGGTATAATTGATAATTATTACATATACTGCTAGTCAGTGAACACGGTGGGTAAATATAGTTAAGAAGCTAGCTTAATACATGAAGTTGTTTAGGAATGCCTAAACAGGGATTAAAACTTTAATGTTAATTCTTCAAATTTAATTAATATGAAGTATAAAAGTGTTACATATTAAACCCTTTATGACAGTTTCACTAATGAATATATGCAAAGATCAAATTGTTTATTTCAATCTTTATTTGAAAATCTCTTATACATCATTGCAATTTCTTGTCATACACTTCTAGTCCAAACATACTTATGGCAAGTTCTATAGTTAGATTGAGTCAACAATTAGGAAATCCTGATGGAATGTCTACCACTACAGAACATCTACACAGTGATCATATATTAGTAACACTTTTACACCTAATAAACACTAAAGATGTGGTGGTGGAGCACAGGATGGATAGACGGTAACTTCCACATAGTGGTTGAATTCACAGTGCACCCAAGATGACTAATTTCTGGTAATACAAAACTAATTAAAGAAAAATTGCCAGTTGGAACAAACTGGTCAATGTTCAGTTGATGATTCAAATTGATCCGATACAGAAATCAAACATCCTAAGTTCTAACATGCTACTATTTCATGATTATAACTAGCAAATCTCAAACAATTGTACAAAACATTAAAAAACAAAAAAACTTAAGAGCCTACAAAAATAGAAAGGAAGAGAAATTCTAGTTACTTCAGTTTAATCACGCAGTTCTCGCAGAAAGTAATTTAAGCTGTTAAAAAAGTCATGGCCATCGAGTTTAAGTGTTTGTCATCAGTAATCACAACTATGCCCACATCATGTATGTAACCCTTTGAATATTTTCTTAAATTTTCTAAACTAAAAATAAGTCTCTTCTGACAGTAACAACAAAATTCTGAACCATAAACTAAGATTCTTACCCTTACCCTAGTATAATAGCAAGGTACAAACCTTGTACTGGTGTATTATTGTTCAATTTTAACGTTTCAAATTGTGCTTTTTATAAACAAAAATAGTACAATTCGCACAATTACTGAATAATCACCAATGTAAAAAAAAAACAACAACAAACATACAAAACATGCTGTAGTATTGATTAAGCATGTGTTTCATGACTAATAATTATATATTTATTCATAAAGGCAGTATTGTTGTATACATTAGCTTCTCTTATCACCATTCTATATTATTAAAGTATTAAAAGAACAGTAAAATCCTTGCATCTTAATCTATACAATAAGGGATGATATGATTTTTTCAAACTGATAACAGCTTTACAAATACTTAAAAAAAGTGAAAAGGGATAATTCATGTGAAACGTAGCTGGGCTTTAAATAAACATTTAGTTGACCTTCTGAATAACGAAATATAGTTTAGTTGCTTGCGATTTTTAAATGCGATTACATAGAAAAAATAAATAAAGGCGTATCTTTAAATTTGTATGAAGAAATTTGGCACGTAGAGGCATCAAGCAAATGGGAGTGTTATAATATTGACTGTTGAACAATAAGATTAACAATGGTAAAATGAAACTCAGAATCAACAGATTTCCATTATTCACACTCTTAATTTCCAAAACACTAATAAATTGATGGTACTTTCACAATACCAGCATCCCCTGTTTAACGTACCTCCTATTAGCATGTTTTCGTTTTAAAGCGGTTTTTATATTAGATAACCTTTTATTTTATTAGTATGTCCAATTGCAATAGCAATTTTCAATTTAACACAGTTTTCAAATAGAAAACTGGACTCTCCAACACAGCTGCGCATGCATTAAACACTCCCTATACTTAGTTTATCTCATGTTCACCTCATAGTAGCATCATTCTGTGCGTATATGGTATACTGTGATATAATTAATTTTGAAATAAGCACAGTTAATGTAATTAATACAGGTATTTACGCAGAATGATGCTACTAAGTATATGGTATACAGTAATATAATTAATTTTGAAATAAGCACAGTTAATGTAATTAATACAGGTATTTGTAATTAATACAGGTATTTGCACAGAATGATGCTACTAAATTAATTGTGCTTATTTCAAAATTAAGTATATCACAGTATACCATATATTTAAAGCATTATTCAGTGTAAATAACAGCTATTATGAAGTAATTGTAATTAATAAACAAGGAAAATTTAACCCTAATCATGGCCTGCTAGGCAAAAATCATCTTCATCTCCTCCCGCTGCAGAATGTTTCTAAAATTTGTCACTGGATAGCACATCAGTTTCTTTACATTTTAATGTGCTAAGCAGCATCTAATGCGATGTGATAACAGTTATTAAAAAAAACTGCTGTGAAATAAAGTAATTAGTGTAAAGTTTGAAGCATCAAACTACATTACTTTATGATCTAAATACTGGTATGCTCTTATTTTCAGGTTTATGTAATGTTTCATATAACTCTTTTAATGTTCGAGTATCTAATTAATTCTATAAAACACGTTTAATAAAAGTTTATACGACCAGAAAGTTTTCGGTCAGGAATCCATCCCCCTTTACATGGGAAATTGATTTTTATTTAGTGTGTTTTAATTTAGCACAGCATTTTTCAGGAATGCAATAATTGCTCTAAACAAGAGATGCTGGTATACCAGAAGAATCTCTCTCTAGTCATTTGTATAATGCAATTATGCTGTATTATTTAAGTTGTCATAATATAGATTTATAAAGATAGTTAGGAACTTCATAACACAAACATAGTTTCATTTTACCTTTTAGATAATCTTAATTTGTTAGCAGTAAAACATTGTTGTCACTTCAAACTAAAAAAAAAAAAAACTTACCTATATTACCAGCTAATATAAGCTTGCTGTAACTTCAATACCAAGTTTTCACAGAGAAGCAGGATTTCAAATTTCCTTAAAACTATATTTTTTAACGACATATATTTACAACCACCTGTATATGCATAATGCTATGAAAACAATCTGTAACGATATTTTCCACCAGTAACTAGGTTTACAAAGTGTACACCATAGTGACTGTGGAAATAGTTATCGGAAAGTTTATTTATTGGGCATTTTTTTTTAAATCAATAATTCACTGTTGTTACCCTTGACAAAACATCTATGACATGTATTAAAAAAATGTGTTTTAGGCTTATTAAATACACAACTATTGAAACATGGGGAAAAAAATGAATATAGAGTGTTAGGGTTAGAAAGAACATTATAACTGAAAAAAATTGCTGAAATACGAAATGATTTTATATAAACTATCCAGCTGTATTTTCACAGAAGTTTATAGCCAAAATAGAATTGTTATTGCTATTTAATACTTATTTAATGTACAAAAAATATTCATACAAAACTACTACATGACAGAAGATATGATCAAATACTCTAATGCAATCTTTCATCTTCACTGTTCCTGTAATTCTGACGGAGTTTTCCTCTTTTTTGCTTATAAAAGTATTTTAATGCACAGTAAGAAAAAACACAAGGAAATGGCCAAACCAAAGATATTATATACTTCTACAAAATATACAAAAGTCTGTACAATAACTAGAATATTAAACCCAGAATTCATATACTATATATATTCTAATAGGTTCATAGTGCATCAAATGCTCCACTTCATTTAACATTACTTATTACAGGAAATTTTCTTTGTGGGGGGGAAAACAAAAAGTGGAGGTTTACCTATATTCATTCAAAAACTACATTTCTAATATTTCTATTTCTCTAACAGTTATTATACAGAATTTTATAGCTGTAAAGTGTAACTGCTTAGATTATTGTAATTTTTGCTTAAACAAACCAGACTTCAATACAGTGGTATTACAATACATGAGCTGACAGTTTATCGTTTATTATAGGGTATGCAAGTGTTTCACATTCCTCTAGCTGTGCTACACAAACAGGTACAGTTTTTGAGCAGTACATAATACATGCATGGATAACAATCTTTAAATCTCATGGTTTACTGTAATTGGTTGTAAATCGTCGTAATGGAATAAGAGATGTGTGGGCAAACTATACCTTAGTTTGTTAAGGAGGAAATACTCATTAAAATATAGCTAATCACATTCTAGATATGACAAGTTCCTCAAGTATACATATAGTTTAATAAACAAAACTCACATATAAACTTTAATCTATGTTGGAAACAATATACCACTACATCTTTAGAAACGACATCTCACTGCAGACTAACCCCAAAAATATACTAAAGGCATTCAATATTTCAAAACTTAACTATTTCAAGTTGTTCTACAGGTTTTGATTATTGATAGATGAAGGTGAGATACAACTGACTAGCCATCACAAACACTCACCCTCCTAGGATCTACTGTTATTATAATTGCATTGTACAATTTGTCCCAAAATGTTAACAATCATTTTCTGTCTTTTTTCAAAACAAAAGCAGAAGCATGCCACAATTAGTAACCAAGAACTCCAAACAAATATTAGAATGGTATTGCACTCCAACAGCTAACTGTATACAATATCTGTTAAAACAAAAAAAAAATCTGGATAATGACTGTTTACACATACTTGAAAAACTCATCTACATCTACAGAAAATTGACGAAATTCAACAGAAATGTGAAATAACGTATCGAATTTTGTTTTGTGTCCTCAGTTGTAGTAATCTATCATATAGTGCCATAACTATGTGAAAGTGATTTGTGTGTATGTATATACACACACACACATTTAAATGACAATTACATGTGCTTATTATGTTTTAAACTTTTTACAGATGCATTAACAATTCAGATGATACGCCAATTCATCTAATTTTAATCTAGTATGTATTTATTGGAAGTTGACATACAGAGAACTAATACGATGAAAGTATCTTATCTAATACAATTAACAGTTAACTAATGCAAATACAAATTTGAGCAATCTATGAAACTTAATTTAAATTAGGAAAACTTTCACATATGAAACAATACTGTACGATACGAGTTAGTGAATTTTTACTTTGTAACAAACCACTATGGAAATTCCGAACTAATAAACAATATATGTATGAGAATAAAAAAACAAAAAAGAAGAAATGCTGTCACATGAATTAACCTCCACGAGGTTTATCAAATTGCATGAATATAGTAACTATTTTCATCTCTACTAATTCTTGATTATAACAATACTAGTACCGATTACTAAAAAAAAAAAGCTTGATCTAATTACTTAGTTTCCGTACGTATACACTACTACATGACCATCAGTCTATACCCTCTTTCCTAAACACAATGACCACCAGTCAAGAGTACAAAGTGGTCAGAATTGACCCGCAGTTCATGCACTTAGAAGAGATACCTTTGTACATTTTGCTAAAATTAGATTTTATGTATTATTCAACAAAAAAAAAAGTTGCCTGAATTCCCTTTCTGAATATTTCACAACTCCCAAACTGATGCTTTAAACTTTTGCATGAATTAATAGTTTCGTATGAGATAATGACAAATTTCTAGAAAATCTAAACTCACAGAATACTGAATATGAACCAACAATTTATATCTTATTGACACAGATATTTTTCAACCTAGCAAGTAGTTCAAACTTAATCTAAAAGTTGATCTTTGCAAATTTGTTTTTCATGGAACAGAAAAGGAACCCAGGAATAGCTTCTGTACACCCTCAGTAACAATAAACACGTAAACCATCATTTTCAGGTGGGATTTGGCTTTATACCACACAGATAAGACACCTGGATGAATAACACCATAACCCCAGTTTTAATTTTGTTATCACACAGATTCAACCAATTAATACATTAAAAGGTGTTCTCTAAACTAGGTACATCATACACTTGAACCAGGACAGCTGCTGAGTTGAATGTTTACTCCATGTTTAAAACTCTCTGGTAGCTATGCAGTATAGCCAGAAAAATATAGCACCAAGTCTCCCCCACACTGATCCTACAACAGGCAGCAGGCCCGTACAAGTCCACAAGAAACCACTACATCAGTTATTACAATTTTATGACTGAATTCTTCTATGTTTTGACAAAACCTGCTCAGTAACAACACCCTCTAAAGCATAGAAAGACATTCCAGGGACAGGACACCCTCCTTTTAAGCTACAAACAGAAACAAGATGTCCTCCTACAGATTGTAATAATTATCGGCTGGCTGGATCTTTTTTGTTAGCCTCAACTTCAGTCTCGGGGGTTGCAGGAGTAGGAGAAGGACTGAGAGAATCCTCTTTTTCTACCTTACCCGATATTATTTCCTTCTGTTGGCGACGCTCAAACTCAGCTTTGAAGTGTTCAATGTCTTGCTGGCTGTAATATAGAAGAAAAATGCCACTTAACAGTAAAATATACTAACAATGGGAACAAAATGTTTTCACTAATTAGAACTAGAGATATATTTCAATATCCACAACCCGACAGACGATTATTATATTTTATTATGAACCTGATACAGCTTTAAACTATCAAGTCCCATACTTAAGAACTATTATTTGTCTTATCTAGCAAAGACTATACAGTTCACACAAATTAATTGCAGGGAAAGTGAAATGACTTTATATGAATGTACAATTCAAGAGGAATATCACAAAAGGTAATACAAGTTGGCAAAACATGACGTCAACCTTCATGTTAAAATACAGGTGCATGCTAAGTCTTACCTTATCTGAACAAACAGTATGCCATTGATGATGTTAAGCATGTCAAGGACGTTACTCATTGAAGGTGGTTGAATCTGAAAATATTAAAAACATTCAAATTGAAAACAACTAAATTATTGAGATACATTTTAACTCTTTCACTGCCATGGGCAAGAAGAAATGGTAATCTCCCTTCATACTTCCCAAAGTTTACTATTATCTAGTTTCATATAAGTTCCAAAATAGTAAAATATGCATTTTTTTTGTGTTCTTCTCATGTATCTCAAAACAAACTTGACACTGAGAGTTGTTTATCTATGAAGTGGTAGTGAAAGAGTAAATATATATATATAATCATTTTTAAATTATTGAAACATCATGATGCAGGGCTATTGGAAAACGAACTACACGTTATATGTCAAGTTGATTTGATGTATCTCAATCCTCAATTATCAGCTTGTTTACATACTGCTCACAACAAATGGGTTAACAAGTTGAATCAATGAGTAATATTTCACTTTTGTATATTACAACATGCATAACAAAGAAAGGTAAAAATCACTTATTCTCTGTCAGAAAACCCCAACAGTACTTTGTGATAATAAATTGCAATACTGACTGTATTTCTGGTTAATTATTTGTGAGAAGTTATTAGGGACCCTGTTAAACCAATAAGCAATCTGGTCATAAATTGTTTCCAAAATGTGTATATAAATCTGACAGGTTTGAATCCTGTCAGTAATTTGAGTTACTAACTTTGGATTGCTGGCTAATTAAATAAAAACTCAATTAAGTTATTACTATATTAGTGTTTTTTTAATAACTTGTGTTGCAATAAACATATCAGGTTTTAGTACAGAAACTGTTTCTCATCATATGAGGGAAAGAGGAGGGAACCAAGAAATATTAACCAGAAAGTAGCATTCTACATTTCAGTAGCTACCAGTTGCCTTTCTTAAGAGTATTCTGTCCAAACACTATACTTCCAAAATGTAACACATAAAAACACATGGATAACACGACTCTTGAAAAAAGCTATCAGCAGCCATCGAAACATACGGCATTTTAGTTGTGTGTGTTTATTTTGTATGTTTTGAAAACATGAAACACTGAAATATCACTGTAACAATTTCTCGATCATTTGGCTTAACATTTGTATTCATAATTACAGATAACAGGCATCATTATCTGTTGATGGCAAGAACTAAATCAAGACATTTCCTTCCAACCAAGTAAGTAAACAAATACTAAATCTTAAAGCTTGTAAATGTAGTGTACGGTTGTGTGTCAAAGGCTCTGATATAGGGAATGAAAACTAGCAAAAATATTCAAATTCTAATGAGGTTGAAAGTTCTAATAATTTAAATGTATTGAAAAAAATCATAAAAGGAAACAGGTTGATAGTACATGTACATATATTGAAGCTCTAGTATCAAAACTGACTACTGATTTAACTAAACAAAGATCATTCACATAACAGTCACCAGAGAGCAGTAAAAGAAAGAAATTACAATACAAAAGAATTAGGCAGACTTCCTTAATCCTAGCAAATTAAACGTGTTGTTAAAGTATAACTTCACCTGAATCGGTGGCAATACTGCTCCAGAGTTACCCTTGTAGATCTCATTCATCTTCTTTTGTAAAACAACCGCTTGCTGGGTAAGATGTCGTAAACATTCTGAGCTCTCTTTGGTTTTCTCATGGTCTTCTCCCAGCTAGACCAGAAGGTAATTATTGTCAGGAATACATTTTCTAAATTTTTAACTATGAAAACTAAACTGTTTTTTCAATTTTCTTACAAGTACATATAGTAACAAACTTTTAAAATTCATTTTTCATAAACTACCAGCCTGTGCAAAAATCTTCTATTATTAATCTCATATTTACTTACCTAAAACTAAGTTGTATTTTTCCATTATATACACACATATTACAAAAATACCAATGAAAGTTATTGGTTTCACTTTGTATCTTACAATTTTTTATTCACGGAAGAATACAAGCAATTCCAGGTTCCTAACCATCACTTCAAGTATTAACTGTATCGCTAAGTTAATACTCTGGTAAAGCCTGCTACAAAACAATAACTAACCAAATGCACTTTCAAACTTTTAAAACATAGCAACAGCAGTGTAACTAAATAGAGAAGTTTAGTTTTCTAAACTCAATTTTCAAGCAACATCGCATACCTGCTGTTTATATATTGAAAATGTTTCTTTCTCATTCTGCAAGGCAGCCCTAAAGTCTCCCATGCAGGACTGTGTGCGAGCCACCAGGTGGTAACTAACAGCAACTTTCAGACTCTTACTGCCATTATATCTATATCAGGAAATAATGTAGACATCAATACGAAATACTTAGTTTCAGAATAACAGATACTGTTACATAAATACACTATATATCAACAGTGTTCAAAAACTTTATTGGAACCTCTCTCTCTCTCTCTCT